TAGATATGCAAAGAACTAATACTGGACCTCAAAGAATAAAAATTCTTTTGAAGGAGTTCAAGAAAAAATGGCAGTTATATGGCATAGGTAAAACAATAGCTAAAGTCCATATCAACTATTCAAGGGGAGAATCTCAAGAAATAGAAACAGCTGTGTTAAATTTTGTAGACAGTCTCAAAAACTCAGTTGCAATGAAAAATCCTATGTTCAGTGGGGAAGTAGTAATGCTAGGAAGTTCGGCAGACAATGTGAGGCTCTTCTGCCCTGATGAGTTTGACTGTAATATTGTATTAAATAGCTTTAATGAAGGTCTGCAAGTGTCACTGGAAGAAATGGGACCTAATTATAGTGGCTGTAGGACAAAAATTAATGTATCATCAAACGACAAGAACATTATCAGCCTTCTTAAAGGAAATAGATTCTTGCATACATTTTATGATCTGGTTAAGGAGTGCATTTCAGATATTGACCCTGAAGATAAAAGGATGACAATTATTCCACCTGGAGTGAAAAGGACCAAAGTTGGAGTGGGACTTAGCCTTGCCTGGACGGGTAGGGAGTATCCTTTACTACTGGTAGATGTGGATATCGTACCCACTATGGAAGCTCCCTGGCCAGCAGATCTGCCGAGGCCACCTCTTACGCCGCCTCACCTGAAGTCAGTATACATCAACAGCATTGGCAACGGCGAGTGGAGGTTCTCCTTCGCAAAGGCAGAGAATGAAATCATGAAGAATCTGACTCCTGATCAGAGGCTAGTGTTTCTGGCTTGTAAGATGGTTCTTAGTTCCCTCAAAGTGGAAAAGTGGGCATCAAGAGATATTCAGAACAGATTTAAATATTTTGATAAAATTTTCTTCAAAATTTCTTCACCAAAAAGTTTTATCCTAAAAAACACATTTTTCTTGGAACTACAAGATTTCAAAGACCAGAGATACTACTGGACAGACCACTTAGAGAAAAGGATAAGATCAGTTTTTGAACGCATGTGTGAAAAAGATATCAAAGGACCAGTGAAAATAGAAGCTTACTTTGCAGGCGGGACAGAACCTTCATCCCTAGGATACGGGGCACCAGATATTGTTTCATTTTTCACTCCTAAACCCGGCTTTCACGGAGTAAGTGAATACTAGGCTGGACGATCAGGTTATAATTGCCAGATCCAAACAATTCCTAAGGGTTTTATGTGTCATCTTTGGTTTAGTACTTTCCCTGGGGTTGTCAGGCATTTTAGTAGCAGTTACCATTACTATGGAGATCCTTTCTGTTAACATCCCGTTATCTCGACGCTTTAAAGTTTTCTCATAAAACCATAAAGCCGACCTGTGTAATATTTGCTTACCCAAAGGAGGATCTCCAGTCCTGTCTTGGTGTGAATATAAATTTCAACAGTAGCCTCTTGATCAAAACTGAAGGAATGCTAGACCCTCCATTTTTTCCACGTCACTCAACCACTCTGAAGTTTATGCGTGGGTTCTCTTACTATATATGATTAACTGTATCAAAGCATTTTTAACAGCCGAAGAGCCAAAGTGATAATCAAATAAGTCCTTCTTTAGAACAACTCGCTTCATTGCTTTACTGTGAGTTAAAGCCTTTAAGTTTACTATCTTTCCTTCTTTTTCCCTTTTCTGTCTGTCTATCTTGGCCAACTGGGTGTAACCATGCTCAGTAGATATATTATATCATCAATACAAGAACCACTCCATTATAGGATTTTTCCTCTTGCTCTTGAGAAAGACTGGGATGAAAACAAGATGCTTCAAAGACGCCGTTCAAAATACAGTATTACCGGTCTCTCTGCGTTCGCCGTATGTACTCAGCTAATGACTTCCTCTCCCCCCCGTGTATATATTACAAGAAGCTTCAGTCTTCAAGAGTGGAAGAGATATTCAGGCTTTTCGTTCTTGGTCATGATTTTCATAATGAAAATATTCAATACAGAACTTTTGCGATTGGTTATGGTACCCCATGCCATTCCCAGTGAAAGAAATTGTTTTAGTGTTTAAAGGCAAATTAATAAGCCATTGGTCTTTTTTTTTTGTATACATGGATGATGTTCTCATGTAGTGAAATTTTATAAATAAACTTTGAAATGAGAGTTATTATATTTTAGAAAATTATAGTGTTTGATATTTTTCCAATTACAGTTAATAATATGGGTAGGGTATTTTTTTTCAGGGTGTTGCTAGTGAGTATCATGATAACAAATGCCCACGTCACCTTGGTTTTAGAATCACGAAGTTCTTACCTTGAATTTGAAAATTTTAAAGTCATCAATAGCTTTCTTTTTTATTTGATTAATATATTGCATAAGTTGGGAATGTTTTTTTCCAACCTGGAAATAACATTGTCTTTTCTGTGCCTGTAAACTGGATTTTTTCTTTCTTTCTTTTCTTTTCTGTATATTGACTAATTTTCACTTACACCTTTGACATAAAAAAAATGTTTCATTATTGCTTATAAATATTAATGGCAACTCATCTCCATCTTTTCTATGGAGCTGATGGCATTGTCATTACGTATCAATACATGATTGGTGGGATTAACTAGCTCGTTCTGCACATGTGCAGGATTAATCTTTGAGCTCAAAAGTAAAGCCTGGTCCGGAGCTGAATTAAATATAATCCTGGACACTGCCATTGCACATGTGCAATCGCTTATACACAAGACATTATGAATAAGAAAGGTATCTGGACATAGTTAACTATTTTACATGATAATAATGGCAGCTTCATAATATGACGTAACCATTTTCAGACCCACCATAATTATTTTCGGAGAGCTATACTTTTGCCAATTAAGAAATGTCAGTGCGTTTCTGTTCACTGCCCAAAAAGAGTACATGTGTTTAAAAATTCAAACTGGCAAACTACATCTATTGCAACATACATATATTGTGATTAATAGTAAATCCATGACGTATAAAAGTGCAACGTAATGCAACGTAACCAGGCATATATAAAAGAAAATAAAGATCAAACAATTAGCAAATTTAGCAAATGTCCTTAATACACACACACAAACACACACACACACACACACACGCACACACACATACATATATATATATATGTATGTGTGTGTGTGTGTGTGTGTGTGTGTATGTATGTATGTACGTAAACACACACACACATAGGAACGCACGATATTTTGCATTGCTGGTGGAGAGAGAGCATCAGGCAGTTTTATACACGCTGCCCGATGGTCGTACAGTTTCAGTTTCGTGCTACATAAACAAATTATTCTTACATAATAAATACATAATGATTTTTTTCACATACATAGATAACACTGTAGGAGGCTCCATACAGCAAAATGACATCAAACACTTTGACGTACTTCTTAACACCTTACATAGCCATGTAGCGGAATGTATCCCCAGTTGCTGCGAAATCCATGGACCCTGCAGTACCGAAATCGTCCATAACCTAACCTAACCTGGTCCTCTTCAGCTAGCTCGATCTGCCAATAACCATATCCCGCATCCATGGTGGTAAAATACTGAGCTTTCGGGTCCACATTTCGGATGGCGCCAAAGGGTGTAGGAGAGGGGTGCAGTGGACGGGACTTTTGTTTAATCCCAAGTCGTAATGCATACTCTGTCATCTTGTTTACCTACGGCAACTAGTGGATGACACTAATCTAAGGGCTCGTCACCAGCTGACTCGATTATCCCTGGGCTACCATAGTCAAGCTCCTTCTTGATTTGTTCTTAAATACCATGGGAATTCGAAAATAGATGGTGAGCGGCACAAGACAACCAAAATGTCATGTAATTCCTTCTGGAAGTAGGGCGTCGTAGCATCTTGGAATTTCAAAGGGGAATTTCTGCGCACGAGTTCACATATTTAACCTTCATAATAGTCTTCGGGCATTCTTGGAACCTAATGGCCAAATCTTGGCTGTGACCAATGGTAGAAATGGAGTCTGGATGCTTTCATAAATTTGAATCTAGGAGGAGCATGGTTTTTGCATAACTTAAAATTAGTCGGAAATATAACAAGTACAGGATCTATCTCTGAAACGTTGACCGTTAAGCAAATGAGACCGTAGGCTGCTCCAAGGGAAAGCTAAACCAATCAAAGTGACGTCAGCGCCTATCAGGTGTCAAGTATGAAGTCATATCTCAGGTATAAAGTTATATCTCTATGCGTGATAAGTTCACAGATAGTTGGAGTGTCATGGGTTGGAGTAAGAAGGAAAACTAACATGGCGATAATTATCATACCCCCATGTTTGGCCAAAAAGAGAGAGAACTTTGTCATTTTCGAGAGCCCTATGTTTAGAGATCTTCTGAGATTCTTCGCAGACAGATGAATCGACTTCATCTGCAGCACATCTGAGCCATACATTAAAATCAGCAAACGATTTGCCGTCCGTCTACTTGCAACAGTGCAACTTTATCCTGCTTATGATCTCGTTAATTAATTCCTTAGTGTGCGCCTGCAGAATGTCCATTACATCGTCAAGTGGCTTCTTTGTAGAGGGAGTCGTCAGTAGTGTATGCTCCTATACACACTGAATTTCAAGGGAGAGGCACATCCAAAACTCAATAACCTGCATAGGTTGCGGTAAAGTTTACCGTTGTGCTGTAATCGTCCCGTAGCGATTTCCATTTCCGAAATATTTTATACGTAGCGATGAATTGAGTGGTAGTGGTGCCTGCGTAGCAGCTTCCTGTTGAGACAGAAAAGTGGGTAGGCGGTATCTGGAGTATTCGTATTTACCGTCTTTTCGACAGGCGGGACCTAGGTGGGATGTGGGGAAACTGCCTTGAGGTGGCTAGCATGGAAATTAAAGCCCCAAATCTCTTCGTCTCATCTCCTCGTCCTACCGCCTCGATTTCTTCCATCCTGAAAATGATCTAGTTTCTGCTCAATTTCCCATCCTTCCTTTATTTCGCTAAAGCTAGAAAACGTGCCACAAAACTAGTGTCGGCAGCACGGTCCACTGCCAGGGCTGTAATTCAATAGAAATTCATCTGCTATCCGGAAAAC